CGTCTAGCTTAGAAAAATGAGCATATGAGATTTGAGACACAGAGGCTGTTGATATTTGAAGTCAAAGAGGTGAACTGTAGGTAGCACATTGTATGAACCAAGTAGACCAACTTTTCTTAGATACACAGAGTCCTGTATTGATGAGCAGTAGTATTTAAATTAGCATTGACAGGAATTTCCATAGCATTTATAAGAGTGTAGATGTATGATTACCCCGTGGGTCTCATTTCCAATGAACATCACCAGCACCAGGTATCTGTCGTTATAATGGGGGTCAATATTCACATAGGTCTTCAGAGCAACCAGCATTAGGATGAAGAAGGAATAAAGACAAATTTGAATGTTAACCCTTCTGATACTATACACCAGACCACCTTTTTAGTGAGGAACTGTAAAACCCGTTCTCTTTAGACAGATTACTATGCAAAAAATGCCTTATCTTTCCTGTTAAGGCAACTCTAGTGAGATGAAACACTGCCTTGACCAGTAAGCAAAACCCTGCCGCAGCAGGGTTATATCAGGAGAGAGCACATCTCCCATAGCTGGAGATGAAGGAGGAGGAAGGAACTGGAGGAGGAGGAAGGACCTGGAGGAGGACTGATGGAAACACATCTCCTCCTCCCGTGAATGATTTGTACCTGGACGTCTGCTGGCGTCTGCTGTTATTGCCCAGCATTACATGGGCGATCGTGTTCCTCAGCGAAGAGTTTCTAATATTATGACATTTGCTGGGTCACCCTGTTCCTGTCCGTTGTCAAGTCCCCTGGCAACACGCAGCATGTTCTGTTTGTTTCAACACTCTGACACAGTCACCTCTTACAGAGCTGAGAAGTTGCTTTAGATGTGATGCGATTTAATGAGGGACTGTGGAAAAGGATAATGACAGATTGGTTTGGGACATGTGCACCTCTGTTGTGGCCCTTTTCTGTTGCTGGGAAGGTAAAGCTGATGCTAACTATTTGCCCTGGCCTGATGTCAGCTGTCCTGAATTCATTTATTTCAATATTAATAATCTAAGAATGGCACTACTCTTCTGCTAGCAATATAATCTTTAAGGGGTTTTTGGTAATATCTTTTTTTTTTGTGTTAGTAACACGTTTTAAAGACATGAAGATAATTTGTTTGTACTTGTAGGTATTCTGTACCAATTCCAAAATAGAACCATGAGTAATGCTAATTGTTTCTCAGTGGTAACTTAAAAGGGAAGTACAGATAGAAGCATAAAAAAGCAAACATCAAGTGCTTTCCTGTGTACTATTGATTTGATACAGATACCTAGGGATCTGTACATACCATTCTGCTTTAAGAAAGATGGCCAGTCTGAATTTATATTTGATTTTTAAAACGAAAATCTGAACCAAAATCTGAGCATCTTGTATAATTTACATACAACTTTCCATAAGTAGATAATTCTGGAATGAAATTGAAGATGCCGTTATTTCTGGAGGCCCAGAGTGCTAAGGAAGCAGTTACACTCATGAACACAAACCTTCATAAGAACATAAGACTTTTAGACTGTGTATCTGAATCAGGTAGACTGTCTAATACTTATTTATTAGCTATCTTATCTCCAGTAACTAATGCTATTGATAATGACTGTATGAGCAGGGAAAAGACAAGGGTACACATTTTCCTACTATAATTCTACAAACTTTAGTCATCATTGGTTTCCTGGACTTAGTTTGCAAGTGATTTATTTAGTGACCACCAAGAAAATATATTTTGAGACTTGTGTGGAAGAAAAGTAAGTACTGTCAGTAGTTGTTCACCAAGTATTATTTAAGAAGCAAATCCCCTTTCGTATTTCCAAAATCAGAGATATTATGTCAAGATGATATCATACGATTTACAGAAGCTTATTATTTCAATGGAAAAGATATAAAATGACATAAATGATAGAAAAGATGAACTGCCTCTAAAAAGTATATGAATGTTTTGGGAGTGTTTCTATTGATTCTAACAGATTTTGGATAAAGACTATTGTAAATTACTGAATATCTGTCTTTTGGCTAGCAGGATGTCTACATTGATGTATCTCGTAGTTTATATAGTTGCTCTGTCACCCCATGCCTCCTCCCTACCTGAGGAGGGGGCTCAGTAAAAGGAAAGGAGCTTTGTGGGTTGAAATAGAAATACATTTAATAAAACAATAATAATCAACTAATATTAATAACAGATATAATATAAAATACAGACTTACACCTACCCAACACTGTGGGTGAATAAGCCTCAGGGTTAAGATGGTAAACTGACTCTAAAATTCTGTCCCAGTAAACCAGGGCAGTATATTGCCTAATTTTAGACTAATACTAGACTAATATATAAATTTTAGTCTCGTAATTTTAAAAGATCTACCATTAATCATAACAAATTCTTGTGTCTTCAGTTAATAATTTTTGCTTGCTTAATGTTCTTTAAAAGCATTACTTTATATCAAAATTTCTGTCAATTTATGTTATTTCATATAATTATGTATTTATCCATTTATTCAAGTAGCTTTAGCTTGAAAACAACAGATATATATAAATTGGAAAATTACCTACCATTGGTAGATGTTTAAATTAAATACATTTGTAGGTTTCCTTTTAAAACAAATTCATGCATCATTGACATGAACGCATATCACATTTGTGTTTTTCTCAGATATCAATTTTATACTATTTATCTCTCTTAGGAATACTGATTTGAAGAATTACTCACATCAGAGTTAAAATTAGTGTTTTCCATGAATTATGTGTTTTTGCTTGACAAATGTTTGTTCAGTAGATGTAAATTTAATGGGCAATATTTCAGGACATTATAAGAAATATCTCCTTGAAGAAGAGGTCAACGACATGTGTTTGAGCCTGCTGCTTGAGGAGATGTACTCCAGTTTGGGTGGTTTAGTACTAAAGAAGCTGGGAGTGCTCCTGCCAACTTTTGTAGTGTTTCAGCATGAAGCTCTTAAATTCTGCTTGAAGAGTTGTGACAAACAGTGTGCCCAGGTGGCCAAGAAGGCCAACGCCATCCTGGCTTGTCCCAGCACTGGTGTGGGCAGCAGGAGCAGGGCAGGAATCATCCCCTGTGCTGGGCACTGCTGAGGCTGCCCCTCAAATCCTGGGGTCAATTTTGGGCCCCTGACTCCCAGAAGGACATGGAGGGGCTGGAGTGTGGGCAGAGAAGGGCAAGGGAGCTGGGGAGGGGTCTGGAGCAGCCGAATGCTGGGGAGCGGCTGAGGGAGCTGGGGGGTTCAGCTGGAGAGGAGGAGACTGAGGGGAGACCTTATCCCCTCTGCAGCTCCTGAAAGAAGGGGGTAGAGAGGGGGATGTTGGTCTCTTCTTCCATGGAACCAGGGACAGGACGAGAGGAAATGGCCTCAAGTTGTGTCAGGGAGGGTGAGATTGGATGTGAGGAGAAATTTCTGTAGTGCAAGAGTGGTCAAGCACTGGCAGGGGCTGCCCAGGGAGGTGGTGGAGTCCCCATCCCTGGAGGGGTTGAGGAAGTGGTGGATGTGGCACTTGGGGCCATGGTTTATGGCCATGGTGGGGTTGGGTTGATGTTGGACTGGATGATCTTGGAGGTCTTTTCCAACCTTAATGATTCTGTGATTAATGAATGCTTGCAGTTGGTGGTCTTCCACGGCAGATCTGAAAGTTCTGCAAAACTTCATCCTATCATATTCTCAGCCTCCTTGGAAGAACGGAGGACTTTCTTGCCAGAAATGTAGAAAGAAATATTTTTTCACATCTCAATATAAAATTTTACCCTTGGTCTAGTTAGTTTATTTCATTAAATGAAAATAAATACATTATGTATTTTAACTTGAATAGTAACAATACATTGATACTCAAAAGAAAGGCAGGCTGAGAGACTGAGACATTTATAAAGGGAAGTTACTGCACCCAGCTCTCTGCTCCATTACAGAAGTTACACTCAGATGTTACTGCTTTCATGTTAAGAATTTCATACAGTCCTACAGCTGCTGTAATACAGTTAAGAAAACTACTCCATAGCAGCAGAAGTATAAATGTATTAAATTCTCGTAAAAATCTGCTACATGTGGTAGAGAAGTCTGCAGGCCTTCTCAGGAAATCTTGAGAAAGGTTTAGCAAAGGAGAAGTGCCCTTTTTATTATGTTTCTGTATCCATACACTTTTCAAAGTTACTGAAGGAATATACCATCTGAGTTATTTTAGTGGGAAATAGATATCCAGCTGCTATTTGTGCTCCTTAAAACAGCCAATAAACCAGCTGAACTGTCCCTCAGAAATCCATAGAATCCCAGCATGGTTTGGGTTGAAGGGACCTTACACCCCCGCAGTCCAACCCCCATGGGCAGGGACACCTCCACCAGCCCAGGCTGCTCCAAGCCCTGGCCAACCTGGCCTTGGGCACTGCCAGGGAGGGGGCACCCACAGCTTCTCTGGGCAACCTGGGCCAAGGCCTCACCACCTCACAGGGAAGGATTTCTTCCTCATATCCAGTCTAAATCTCCCCTCTCCCAGCTTCAAACCATTCCCCCTCGTTCTGTCACTCCCTGCCCTTGTAAAAAGTCCCTCCCCAGCTTTCCTGTAGGACCCCTTCAGGTCCTGGAAGGTCAAAATAAGGTCCCTTCAGAGGCTTGTCTTCTCCAGGCTGAACAGCCCCAACTCTCTCAGCTGTCCCCACAGGGGAGCTGCTCCAGCCCCTGAGCATCTCTGTGGCCTCCTCTCTGACCCGCTCCAACAGCTCCATGGCCTTTTTAAATTAGAGCCCCTGGCTTTAACACACAACTCCTATGTGTTCTCTTACATGAAAAGATCCATTTAAGTCATAGACCTTTCCAAATAAATAAGGGATTTTATAGAGGTCCCCAGGGAAAAAAGAATTGTGTTTATTTACAAAAATGTTTCGTGATCTTTTTCTTATCTTTGTTTTCACACTCCATGTCACAGCTTCCCAACGTCGCGTTTTTTAGGAGAACAGCCTGCATTCCAGCATTCGTTATTTTGTTTGACGTGAACATTCCTCTTCATTTCTAGCATCCAGCAGAGAGCCTGATGTAAACAACCTGGGAAGTCCATCTCTCCTTCACCTGGTCTCTCATATTGAATTTATTAAGCAGCAGATGGCCAGGGACAGCGTACTGTTCGTCAGGTTCGAATCAATAGATCTCCATGGTGTGTCAAGATCAAAGAATGTTCCTTCTCGCTTTTTTCACGTAAGTTTTTTGGTTTCTAGCTGTACCATTATGAGTTTGCGTGGCCCTGTCTTTAATTTATATATTATTTTATTTTTTCTTTCATAATGCTGGCAGAAACTCAGAACAAATTATCTGTTTGCTCTACTTGTTAATGTTCCCAAAGGTTCTGGACTTTTTTTCACCATTGCAATCTATTCCTGTTCCTCCAAATAGCAATCTAATTAAATAAGGCTAGAAATTTCAGTACAGAACTGTTAATAATGCCTTTCCACAGAATTATCTTTTCACTTTCACCACGTTATACAGATTTTGTTCTATTGAACACCACCAGATTGCAAAAGGAAAGGAGTAAATACTGAAAGAAAATGACTGAATGAAAGTCACTTTAGCTATGAGAAATTTTATGGTCATCATTCACATAAGAACGCACTATAAGGTTGCATGATGATTTACTGGCCATATTTGTCATATTGATGATTCAGGAAATAAGAACCAAATTAGGAAGCAACCCTAAGTGCGTGTATCCTTGATAAATCAGCCTTTTCAGTATATTGCTTCTGTGATACTTCGTGTGCGTAACTACCTTATATTTCCACTCATATATCACTATAAATATATTAAGCTTTACTTAGTGAGCACAAAAAAGATATGAACATGAAAATATGTAAAGCACTTCTGCTTCAAGATCCTCCTGAAGCCTAAGCCATGTTTTAATTATTTCCTTTTTAGATATTGCTAAACTCCAACTGTATCATCTCGATACAATTTACTGATGGCCTTTAGATTTGATCAGAAGAAATTTTCAGTCATTTCTATTCTCGTGAGGCTTGGTAGGTTAGTTACAACTTAACTTTAACTGGTAATGCCAAATAGTGGATGTTCAGTTCTGCTTGGTCAAAGTCAGCTTTTGTTTTCACAGAATCCCAGACCATCAGGGATTGGAAGGGACCTCAAAAGCTCATCCAGTCCAATCCCCTGCCGGAGCAGGAACACCCAGATGAGGTTACACAGGAAGGCGTCCAGGCGGGTTTTGAATGTCTCCAGAGAAGGAGACTCCACAACCTCTCTGGGCAGCCTGGGCCAGTGCTCTGTCACCCTCACTGAGAAGAAGTTTCTTCTCCAATTGAAGTGGAACCTCCTGTGTTCCAGCTTGTGTCCGTTACCCCTTGTCCTATCATTGTTTGTCACCGAGAAGAGCCTGGCTTCATCCTCGTGACACTCACCCTTTAAATATTTATAAACATGAATAATGTCTCCCCTCAGTCTCCTCTTCTGCAAACTAAAGAGCCCCAGCTCCCTCAGCCGCTCCTTTTAAGAGAGATGCTCCACTCCCTCCATCATCTTTGTAGCCCTATGCTGGACTCTCTCCAGCAGTTCCTGTCCTTCTTGAACTGAGGGGCCCAGAACTGGACACAATATTCCAGATGCGGTCTCACCAGGGCAGAGTAGAGGGGGAGGAGAACCTCTCTACCCTACAACCACCCCCCTCCTGATACACCCCAGGATGGCATTGGCCTTCTTGGCCACAAGGGCACAGTGCTGGCTCATGGTCATCCTGCTGGCCAGCAGGACCCCCAGGTCCCTTTCCCCTACGCTACTCTCCAACAGGTCATTACCCAATTTATACTGGAACCTGGGTTTTTACCTTATTTACCAGCTGAACCAATGGGAGCTTTACATGGCTGCCTAAATTTTTGGACACTGAATGTATGGGCATACCCACACATGTATACATACAGAGCAAGTGAAAGCAACTTCTTTTTTTTCCCCATCTTTTTTGGGTAGGTGGTTGAAGGAGGGAGAGGCAGTACTATAAGGTAACCATCTTCAACACATTTTCACTGTTGAATAGACAGCTTAGACATCTTGGAGCAGCATCCACCTTATTGTACATCCTTGATTATGTCTGATGGATACGGAGAATTGCTACCATTGGACTGCCACCCACTTAAGAGAAGACAGAATTAATTTATTTATATATTATTAGAGAAGCCACTATATGCAGTTTTAAGTATTTTAACAATTTTCCATGTGGGTAGGCAGAATTTTGGGTTTTTTTCAGCTCTGAGCTTGCCCCTTTTTAGGTTTGCTCTGTCTGTTGTGCCATCGCTCAGATGGTAGTGCTGTCCCTTAGAAGAATAGAAGTAAGATGTAAACGCGAGACAAATTTCACTTGATAGTACTTGGCATAATTAAAGTTTTCATCAAGTAGATGTAAGGTCAGTTGTAAGGATGCCTCTTTGAAGGTCCTTCATTGGGGTCCCATCAACATTTCATTTGTTTAAGATGAAGCTCCCTGTGCAAGTGGAGAAGAAATTATAATTATTAATTATAATTATCAGTTTATCCTGTTTGTTACCTAGAAGGGAGTACTGAAACATTAGAATAATTTCTCACTTGAAAGTTCTACCCTGCATTTTTTTTCCCAAACTTATTAATTCCAGAAAGTGAGACTTTTCAGTTGAACTTTGCATCCAGATTATGGTGAGGTACGTGTTGTGGCATTTAAAGAGGATTCACAACCTGAATTTGTATTGCCATGAGCCTTGTGCGATCACTTGGATGTATGTAAAGGAAATCACAGAATCACAGAATCGCTCGGTTGGAAAAGCCCTCCGAGATCATCACGTCCAACCGTTCCTGTCTACCCCCTAAACCATATCCCTAAGTACCTCGTCTACCCGCTCTTTAAATACATCCAGGGATGGTGACTCCACCACCTCCCTGGGCAGCCTGTTCCAGCTTCTGACGACCCTCTCAGTAAAGAACTTCCTCCTTATCTCTAACCTGAACCTCCCTTGGCACAGCTTGGTGCTGTTTCCCCTTGTTCTATCCCCATCACCTGGGAGAAGAGACCAGCACCCACCTCTCCACAAGCTCCCTTGAGGCAGTTGTAGGTGGTGATGAGGTCTCCCCTCAGCCTTCTCTTCTCCAGGCTAAACAAGCCCAGTTCCCTCAGCCACTCCTCATAAGGCTTGTTCTCCAGAGCCCTCACCATCCAAATGCTCAGAGGATATGGAAATCTCATTGAGAGAAATTTAACTTGAAAAGTTTCCACCTAATATGTGATGCCCATAATTGTATAAAGGCCATGGAAGACCATAGGTGCTGAACATTTTTTAGTTCTTTATAGAAATTTAAAGATTGGTCGTGGGGATATTCAATGCCAGGGTTTTCATACCAATTCTGTAGAAGGTTGTCCTGCTTAATAGTGACACAGTAACCAGCTGTTGCCATTCACTTTAGTGATCACTGCATTTTAGTGATCTTTTAGGAAAAATACTGTTGTTCTTACTGAGAATCTGAATTTTACACGTTTTACATATATAAAAATACTGTTGAGTTCTTCTGTCATTTGGTAACCTCTCATTCTTCTCTGTGTTTAGGAAAAAGCAATCCATGGTGTTGCCATGCCCAGAAGTTATCTAGAGCTGACCCTCAACCCTAAAGATAATGAATTAGATTACATCAATGCCACCAATTTTAATTGTGACATCATCCTGAACCCGGACTTATCCACCTTTCGAATCCTGCCCTGGACGGAGCAGACCGCGAGGGTGATATGCGACTCCTTCACCGTGCTGGGCAACCCGCTCATGACCTCCCCGAGGCACATCGCCAAAAAGCAGCTGAGCCAGCTCCAGGACAGCGGCTTTTCTCTGCACTCTGCCTTCACTTACGAATTCTGTATTTATGGCATCACCGAGGTCATAAATTCGAAGACAATATCCTTTCCTGCAGCCACGATACTAAATAACCATGACCAGACTTTCATTCAAGAGCTCATTGAAGGAATGTATTATGCTGGTGCCAACATTGAAAGCTTTTCTTCTTCCAGTGGGCCTGGGCAGATGGAGGTCACTTTTCATCCAGCATTTGGCTTAGATGCTGCTGACAGTGCCTTCACATTCAGAACGGGCATTAAAGAGGTGGCTAAGAAATATAACTACGTGGCCAGCTTTTTCTCAGAGTCGGGTTTCTACAATTCAGGTGCTCTGTCACATAGCCTGTGGGATTTGGATGGCCAGAAGAATTTGTTTTCTGCTGGTTATGGAGTCGAGGAGCTCTCAGATATCGGCAAAAATTGGTTATCGGGTCTCTTGGCACACACAGCGGCTATCAGCTGCTTGATGGCTCCTACCACCAGCTGCCGTAAGCCTTATTCAAAATACAGTAAAGAATCAAAGGAGACTGTAAATGCAAAATGGGCATACAACGATAACAGCTGTGCCTTTAATGTCAAATGTCATGGTGGAAAAGGCACTCACATAGAGAATAAATTGAGTTCTGCCACAGCAAACCCCTACCTGGTGCTTGCTGCTACTATCGCTGCAGGTCTAGATGGAGTCAAGAGAGGGCTTAGGTATGATGATATGCTCCAAGAAGAAAACCACACTGGTGATCTGAAACATTCCTCGGTCCCTCTGAAACTGGAAGATGCTCTTGTGGCACTGGAGAAAGATACGTGCATTAAGGAAGCATTAGGGGAAACTTTTGTCCGATACTTTATTGCCATGAAACATTACGAGTTAGAAACTGAAGAGATGGATATTGAGAGGAATAAATGCCTGGGGTATTTCATTTAGAAGGAGCACTCTTCTGTGGTGATGCTGTGTAAATGCATACAGGGAATGGTGAAGCATCTTGAAATTAGTAAACTTATTTAAAAATGTTTCTAATGCTTTGGGATTTTTTTCCTCCTTTGTATAGTACATGGTGATTGAATTTTATTGTCTGAGTGTGTTCAGGACTGTATCAGTGCAGAGCTGATACTCATGAGATGACATTAACAGGCTTTTTAAAAACAGTAATTTTATGGAGAAAATTAGGAATAACAGGTATATGTGTGGGCAGGATAACTGAGGGAAGATAGGAATTTCTCATTCAGCATGGTAGCATTGTTATGGGATTTTTCCCAGCTTATTCAGTAGCTGAAGGGTTGCTAAACCAGAAGAATCTGATTATGATTTAAAATTTAGCCTGGAATGATGAATATTGTAGAGAGAGGGGTAAAAGACTGAGGCTGTAGAACCTGAGAGTAAGGAATCAGTATCTTAATGGACCTAAATTACAGGGAAAAGTGAGTATAAAATAACCTATCCATCAGGAATTCTGCTGCTGAATGAAGTATCCAAGAATTACAGTGGATAAAGACACTAAAATAAATCAAATGATGGCTTGCAAAGGTAATGATTGATAGAAATCCAGGAGTGTCAGGTCAATGTGCAATCAAAAAGGAGCGTGTACTATGTTTGTTTTGATAGTGAATGAGTTAATTCAGAGATGAATGATAAATGAAGGAAAAAAAAGAGCAAAGGAGCCAGAGAACAAAGTGCTTAAACTGGACATTTTATGTGTTTGAAAGCTGATGTTGTCAAGGATGATGAAGATGACTGTGAAGAGAGGAATGGAAAGAGTGGGTTAAAACCAGAATGAAGATGTGAACTCAGAGACTGCAAATAGTAGTAAAACAGAGGAAGGGAAGACCCATCCCAAATTTAGAAATAGCAGCTGGTGTAAAGAAAAATAAAGGTTTTTGAATAGCAGGAGCTGGTTTTTGGATTTACTCTCTGGTTTTGTTAATTGTTGCTGCTGTAATCATTTATTATTAAAGACAACTCTTGTTTTGTACTCCATCTCCACATTAACAGCAATTTCTGATGTCGACTATCCCGTCCCAGTGTTTTGATTCATGTGTTGAAATTTGTGACAGTGTTTGGACATCAGTGGAGTGAAAACAAGGTTCAGTTGCTGCATCCATCAACCCACAGAGCTAGAAGATGTGTTAATAAATAGAAATGTGTTAGTTACCTCCTGACGGATCTGCCACTCTTTGTACCCAAAATGTAGCACCCACCATGCTAACACTTTTTGTGGGATTCCCAAAAGAGATCACTTCATACTCAGGTAGTGAGAGGAAATAAATAATAGAAGGAAACATGGTAAATGCCTTTCCTTGTCTCAAATTTACTTCTCTCCCTTACTCACCTGATACATTTTTGGGGTACCCAGATCATGGGACTGCTTTTCTTTCCTCCGCACTGATTTGCCTTGGCCAGCTCTAGCCTTGCATTTCACCAGAGCTTCCCATTCTGAAATAAATGGACTTTTGCTGTCCTAACACCTCTTCATGGGCTCTGGGAATCTGTCCATCTTCTGTCTTCTCTTTCTGGTTGCTTCACACTCCCATTTTCACAAGCTCTCGGTAGAAGACACCATAAAAACTCTTTCCTTCCTTAGACAGCTTACTCACCAGAATCATTATCTAGTCCCAAAAGTCACATAGGTGAATATCTGCTCCTTGGTTCTTCATCTGACAAGGTTGTACTAAAGCACAAGTGTGATGTTCGTTAATGTTCAAATATTTTTATTTGGTACTAAGTAAACTGGCTAAGCAAAACCGTGCTAGAAATGACTATGGAACATGCATTCTGCAGGCAAAACAATCTTAATTTTTAAAATGTATCCACAAGTTGATCTTGGAGTAGAAACACATTCCCAGACCAGTTTCCAAAATCTGATTTCAGATCTGCATTTGCTTTTCACAAATTAGTCTTTAAAAATTAAGCATATTAAACAAGATGTAAGTGAACTCAGCCTTCTCAATGAAATACTTTATAAAATTGAGTTACATTGCTCTTTTGGGACTTGGGAAGTTACTCGAGCATAACATTGACCACATTTTGAAGCTGAAATCTCAGAAGATATTTAGGTTCATTTTCTACATGGTACTTCTTCTGGACCTGATTATAAAGATGGCAAAATGAATGAAAGCATCAGATAAAACCATGTATTTTTATCTTCTTTATATATATATAAAGATGTTGGAGGGAGTGGAGCATCTCCTGCTGAGGAGCGGCTGAGGGAGATGGGGCTCTTGAGCTTGGAGCAGAGGAGACTGAGGGGTGCCCTCATTCCTGGGGATCCATTGGGAAAGGGCAGTGTCAGGAGGAAGGAGCCAGGCTCTGCGCTGGGATGTGCAATGGCAGGACAAGGGGCAATGGTCCCAAGCTGGAGCACAGGAGGTTCAAGCTGAAGCTGAGGCCAAAGTTTGTGAGTGTGAGGGTTGTGGAGCATGGCCCAGGCTGCCCAGAGAGGTTGTGGAGTCTCCTTGTGTGGAGACACCCAAAGCCCTGGCCGTGTTCCTGTGTGACTGCTCTGGTGATCCTGCTGTGGCAGGGGTTGCACTGGGGGAGCTTTCCAGGTCCCTTCCAACTCCTGACATCCTGGGATTCTGTGTTTCTGTGGTATTAGTAGCATGTCATGCTACCTCCTAAGACAACTTTCAAAGAAATTTTTGTGAGGGTTTAGAAGACACTTTGTGATTTGCCTTGGATTAATAAATATCTGTCACTGTGCACAGTTATTTTTTAAGAGAGAATATATAATGAACCTCTGTAACTGAGCTTAATGAACATGAAGTTCGTTATATATACTATATGTATTATCCATAGTTTTCTTAGCACAAGGTTGAAGAAATAACATTAAACCTAAACCTTTTGTCATATATGTCCAACTGCTTGATTAATGTCAGTTACAGAAAGCCATTATTTAGAAACAAAAGCCAGCAGACTGGAACTGATGTTCTATAGGTTATTGACAGCAAGAGAAGATAAATCAATAGGATAAATCTATACGGATTTTCTAAGTAGCCCTCAATGAGATATACTCTGAAAAGACAGTGACTGTACAATTAAATAAAAGCACCTCATGTTTTCCAAATACAGTACATATGATAAATATAAAATAACTCCAACTCTTTTGGAAAGCATAAAAAATAATTACTTCAAAACAAGCCGCTATGATTTTTTTAATTAATGAATTTTAATTAATGAATTAATATTGACTGCAATATCGGTAACATTTCGTCTTGAAGTGTTGTCTGAAAATACTCTTCACTGTTCTGCAAGCCCAAGATCTTGCGCATCACTGGTTAGGTAATTTAAACTTGGGCAGTGTTATAAGTTAAAAAAAAATAAATAAAGACATTTGAAATTCGTAGTTTTAGATAAGGTCCTGCTGATTTTCCAGGGTACTACAATTCAGATATTGCAAAGCTTTATATAAGAAATTCATGATATTATTAAAGCATCTTTTAATCTCTCTAATCTCTACTCATGACTACTTTTCCTACACATTTTTCCATGCCTGACCTTGGTTCTAGAGGAGCGTTGCTAAAAACTCCGAAGTCTTCTAACACACCAGAAGGTGGCTGTCACAATGCCACTATGGTAAGGCATTGTGAGACTTTGCAATTCAATATATGCAGAGAAATAAATAGTTACTAGGCTAGCTAAGAGTTTTGTTCAATTTCATTATGAATGGAATGGGATGGAATGGAATGGAATGGAATGGAATGGGATGGGATGGGATGGGATGGGATGGGATGGAATGGAATGGAATGGAATGGAATGGAATGGAATGGAATAGAATAGAATGGAATGGAATGGAATGGAATAGAATGGAATGGAATGGAATGGAATGGAATGGAATAGAATAGAATAGAATGGAATGGAATGGAATGGAATGGAATAGAATAGAATGGAATGGAATGGAATGGAATGGAATGCAATGGAATGGAATGGAATAGAATAGAATGGAATGGAATAGAATGGAATGGAATGGAATGGAATGGAATGGAATGGAATGGAATGGAATAGAATGGAATGGAATGGAATGGAATGGAATGGAATGGAATGGAATGGAATAGAATGGAATGGAATGGAATGGAATGGAATAGAATGGAATGGAATGGAATAGAATGGAATGGAATGAAATGGAATGGAATGGAATGGAATGGAATGGAATAGAATAGAATGGAATAGAATAGAATAGAATAGAATAGAATAGAATAGAATAGAATAGAATAGAATAGAATAGAATAGAATGGAGTGGAATGGAGTGGAATGGAATGGAATAGAATGGAATAGAATGGAATAGAATAGAATGGAATGGAGTGGAATGGAAATAACAATATAATAATATATTATGATATAATAATAATTAAAGAACAATTCCCTCAAAATAGTGAAAGCAATTTTTTTTTAACCAGAAAAGTTAGAAAACCTTTTAACGATGAACAGTTAGGTTATATAGACTTTTCTGGAAGAATACTCCAAATTGTGTAACATATTTAGTGCAATGAGCAACGAAGGTATCTCACACTTCTTGTTACACGTCGTGTCTCGATCTATTCTGTGCTTTAATATCAGAACAACAACACAGATTCTACAGAACCCTCTGTAAAGCAGCTTGTTTCGAATTTGGAAATGCTGTGTTTTGTGAGACATGGAAACAAAATGTGATTTATCAAGTAGCATTTCTCCAGCGCATCGAGCCACAGACACCGTGCGCACAAGTGAATATCCAGATTTTCTTCGTTCTCCAGCCAGAGGGCAGCAGCGCACCATGTAACTTTGCTCTGGGAGCTCAAACTCCTTAAAATATAAGTATATATTTTATATGTGTACTTACAATATTTTTAAAAAAGGGTAGTACGACAGCTGAGAGCTAACGCATATCTTTGTCATTTGTTTAGTTAAGCTTAGCTACCAGTTGAATTTGCATGACCTTTTCAGTAAAGGATGCGCTATAGAGCTCCAAATATTATTTTCATTCTTAATAAAATCATATCGATCTTAAACTAGTGAAAGAGGTATATCTATAATGGTGTG